GAGAGCTCAACTGGAACTCAATGGGAACTCTACGAGAACTCAAAAGTCATCATCTTAATGGCTCGCTGGTGTCACCTCTCAACCACTCCATTCTGGCAAAAATGCCATGCATCATCCCGACTCAGCTGTGGCCCTCAACAGATTCCAGACAGATTGTACTCTAGGATACTACTCAGCCACAAGAAGGAATGGCTACTAAAACATGTCACATGAAAGAACCCCAGAAACACTACCACAGAGAGAATAGGGTACAAAGGATCCATAATCTGTGTTTCCATTTATATGAGATTCTAGAAAAAGCAAAATTATGATGATAGAAACCAGGTGGGTGTTCACCTAGGGTTGGGGAGGGGGAGGAGATGACTGCAAATGAGCAGAAGAGATGGCCAAGGGCACTGTTCTATGACTTGGCTGAGTGGTGGTGACATAATTTGTATGATCACTAAAATGCATCAACATGCACACTTGGACTGTGTGAATTTCATTGTATATACACAATTATCGTACATAAATTTTAGGTGAAAATGCACATGTTGGGTGCAGAGGTATGTGATCCTAGGTGATCATGAGGCTGAGGCAGGAGGAGTGTGAGATTGAGGCCAGCCCAGGCAACACAGCAAAACCCTGTCTGAAAAAAATAAAAGCAAAATATAATTATACATCTATATATATCATTGGCAAACCTCTGACAAACCAATAGTAAAAAAAAAAAAAACTTTAAGACAGGCAGAAACATAAACAAAGCACAACAAATGAGAATTCCAGGAGACTGCTTTTCAGAAACTATGTAAACCAGAAGCCAATGAAGTGACATTCTCAAAGTACCAAAAGAAAAAAGTCAATCAGAATTCTAATACTTGTACATTTATTAAATAATTGAGGGTGAATTTATTGTAGGTTGTTGTAGGGAGACCTGAAAGCAAATTACAAGAATCCAGTTTAGTTTGGGTATGTTATGGAAGGCCTGTAATCCCAGCAACTTCACTCTAGGCTGAGGAAGGAGGATTGCAAATTGGAGTTCAGTCTCAGCAATTTAGCAGGACACTGTTTCAAAAATAAATAAATTAATTAAAAGGGTTGGGGATGTAGGTCGGTGGTAGAGGACCCCTGAGTTCAAGGGGCAGTACTGAAGGAAAAAAAACGTATGCAGTTCAGTATTTATTGATAAGCCATACAGCCTGACTTGAGACTGGTAGTCTATATAACCTCCCCGCATTTGAGCGTGGTAAATTCTTTCAAATGTGAAGATAAATAAAGATTTTTGGATACATAAAAGATGAAGCATTAGTTGCCAGCTTAATGGTGCAAAAATAAATACTAAAGAAGGAGTTCTTCAGACAGGAGTACGCACCGGGTGGAAATCCAGATCTACACAAAGAATGAAGAGTATGCAAAACGGTAAAAAGTGGATGTAAATTTAAAAGCCATAAAAGCATTCGCTGGAAGCATAAACGCAGAATACAGAGCCCTCACACTGCCGAGAGACAGGGTTTGTGCGGTCGGACAGGAGGTGGGACAGAATCGGACGCCCGGTGGAACAGGGGACATCACGCAGTCCTCACCTTCCTGGGCGACGCGTTAGTATCCTCCTTTATAGGAACAGAAATGAACTGTCAGAGAAAACAAGCCCTTGCCCACGAAGCCGTGGAGGACCAGTGGGGCCAGACACCGCCTCCTCGTGTCTGTGGGAGGACTCGGCGCAGCCCCGTCCATTCACCTGAGCCTACGCTCCCCTTGAACTGTGCCTGTCAGGCAGCGCAGGTCCTGGGAGCTGCTTGTGCTAGGCGGCCCACCGCGGCCTCTGCCAGTGGGCAGAGCGGGCTGGTCAGGAGGTCAGCTGGGCAGCAGGGCGGCGGGACAGCAGGGCTACGCTGCGGAGGGGCGGGGCTGAGGAGCCGGCAGCGGAGCGGGTCAGGGGGACTGTGGGCGGGGCGAGCGCTGCGGGCAGGGATAGGCTGTGGGCGGGGCTGCGTCCGGGGCGGGGCCTACGAGGGCGGGCTTCGGGAGAGGCGGGCCCCACGAGCGTCCGTTGCTAAGGCCGCGCAGCCCTTGCGACCTGGGGCGGGCCGCGCAGGCGCCGCGCGCGCTGCAGTGCATTGTGGGATGGGAGTCCTGCTCTCCGCTGCGGCCGCGGGGACCCGGCGGGCGGAGCGGCGCGGGCGGGCAGCCGCGCGGCGGCACGGCCATGAACGCGGCTGTGGTGCGGCGGACGCAGGAGGCGCTGGGCAAGGTGATCCGCAGGCCGCCGCTGACGGAGAAGCTGCTGAGCAAGCCCCCGTTCCGCTACCTGCACGACATCGTCACGGAGGTGCGCGCCGGGCGGCGTGGGCCGGGCCGGGGGGCGCTGCGCCGGGAGATCGGCTGGGAGACGCCGACCGGGAGCGCAGGCCCGGCTCCTGCGGGGCTCCCGCCTCGGGGGCCCGGGGACTGGACGCGGGGCGCTGTGCCTCTGCGCGCCTCCCCGGCCGAGCCGCGTCCGGCCCCGTTTACGTTTAATTTGAGTCTGGGCCCCGACCCGTCGCCCAGGCTGGCCCTGAACTGGCCATCTTCCTGCCGCGGCCTCCCAGGTGGCTGGGGTCGCAGGCGCCCGGCCCGGGAACCTTCCCGTTTCTCTTCGGAGCCCTTCGGGGTTGTGCTGGCAGAACCGATTGTGTGACTTCCCCCTCCAACCCTGTCATTCCCCTTGGTTGCCCTGCAGCGTTCTCACGTGGAAGGTGCTCCCCAAGTCTTGGGAGGGTGGAGTTATCCTTTAGGCTCCCTCCTCAGAGTTTCTCTCACGACTGCTTGGTGCAGTCACCGGAGTTAGAATGCTTAATAAATACACGAAGGAGAATAAATATATTGGTTTTCTGAAAGGAAGGCTGTAAAAATGTCGTTTGATATTTGTTGATAAACTGCACAGCCTGCTTTAACTTGAGGTTATTGTTGCTGTGACTTTCTCACTTAAGGACGGTGGATTTCTCAATGACAGGACGGTACTGATTTGTTAGTGCATCTCCAGTGAGCTGCACTGGGTACATAGAAATTGCACAACAAACATTCACTGTTTGGCAGTCTGTCCAGGTGCTTAGTAACTCAGGAGTGTTGCCTCAAGGGGTGGCAGCACCCATTTCAAGGTGCACCAGAGGGCTTAGGGGCCCAGGTGCTCTCTGGGACTTAGGGGTCAGGTTGCACGCTCCCAGGGCTCCTAGTCTCACCGAATGAGGGCTCTCAAACTTTATTCTCATTTCTTGTTGATTTTGGCCATCCTACCAGCTGTGGTGTGTACTCTCCTGGAACGTGTGCCTCTGTCCCAAACCTGCTCATGCAGAAAAGCTCTAGGAATCATCCACACTCCTGTTTTGACTGGTGGTCCCCTTCTCTTGGATTGCACAGCCCTTACAGCCTGTCCTGGATGGTGTATGGGGAAGGGACCCAGCTGTGTAGAGAGTCCCATGGGAGCCAGGCAGTGTGCTGTGTCACCACCACTCTGTGAAGTAGCAGGTGTCATCCCCTGATCCTGAGGGAGCGAGGAAGAACTGGCCTGCCTGCAGCCTGACCTGTTGGAGCTGAGGCTGCAAAGCTATACTTCATTTCCTGTGCTGCTCCTGGCAGTTCATGAAATGCAGGGCCACCTGAGGAAAGCACCTGGAGGGAAGTGAAACTTTGAGGGGGAGGGAGCCTAAAGAATACTTCCATTCTCAGGACTTAGGGAGCACCTTTCAGTGAGAATGCTGCAGGTAACCAAAGGAATGGCAGGGTTAGAAGAGGGGAGTGCCACAGGGGAGTGTGCTCATCCTGGGGGAGCTTGTGGGTGGGGCTTAATGACCATGTCCTGGTTGGTATTGTGGGATTGAGGAGGAACATTCAAGCAGGAATCCACTCTGTGGCCTGGTAGGCAGGTATGGAATGAGGTATATGCTCCATTGGGAGCAGGTCTGCTTTTCTTCTAAACTTTTTCTAATGCTGAAATTAATTTCTTTTTCGGTGTCAAGATAGATGCACTTACACCTCCTTAACAAGGCATTAGAATGGCTGATGTGCTGAAAAGCATTTTTATATGGTGGGTGGAGAGTGTCCTGTGAAGATTCTTACTGCCCCTGAATGTCTTGTTTAAGTCAGTGTCTAAATATGGAGCTGTAGCTAACTAACAGCGTTTTTCCTTAGGTTAAACAAGGTTCTGTGACATTGTTTCTTGTTGCTTCCAGTTACTGCTCACAATATAAACTGCCTGCACTCTGGGAAAACCTCAACCCAGAAGAAGTGGGCAGTTGTCAGGAACATTAAGGGTGGGATGCTTTTAAGAGTCCGAATTCTAGCCATCTTCTAAGAACAAAGCCAAACAAAACAACGCAGTAGTTGGCTGACTCCCAGGCCTGTCTTTTGCCATTGGTTTTTAAAACCTGACTCACAGTAATAAAGCTACAGCTGACCTAGGACACACATCTACAGGCCTCCGGAGGATACACCTGATATTTTCTGTTCTGTTTCATTTTTTAGAAAATCCATTGTTTTGATTGTTCAGTAACCCTCACATTTTTAATTACTCTGACCTTAAGATATCCAGGGTGCTGGGTGGGGGACAGGGAGGGACAGAGCAAACCACAGCCCTTTCAGGATATTTCAGGGTTCAGGTTACCTGAGGGGGAGGGGCAGGTAGGGGGAGAACAGAAGTGATGACATAGATGCATGGTCCCCACCATCCTAAGAAGTGAGGAGGACCCATCTGGAGATTCTGGTTTGGATGCCCAGGCTAAGCTCTTCCTTTTCCTTCTGGTCTCCATTCCCACCACCGTGCCTGGGGGACTCCAGTGAAGCTCAGAGTGGCCTGGCCTCTCTGTGTTAGAACTGCCCGGTCTCGCAAGCATAGTTTGTGTCCCTAATTGGTTGCAAAGAGCCTCCGGGTCAGGCCCTGCAGGACTCTGGAGGCCTCAGACTCCTGCTGTCTCACACTTCTCTGGATCCCTTGAAAATTTAGAAATACTGACCTTTTATAATACAACAGAAACAATTCGTGAAAGCTTTTAAGTTGGCTGATGGGCTGCATTAACCTTTGAAATACTAATTCTGCTTTTCAGTTGATAAATCAGCACAACATGCTCTGGCCAAACAAGAAGATTTATTCCATCCGAATTGTTCCGTCTCTCATGGAGTAGATTTCTTTGATTGGTCAATTGCTTCCCAAATGCCCTCTTCCCCAGCTCTTCTGTTAGCTTCTGGGTCCAGTTCAGGTCTGCTCTCCCCTGGGAAGTGGTCCCTGGCACCTGGGCCCTCCCCTCCTGTGGGCTGCCCTGGCGCCCTGGGTGTTAGCACTCTTTGTGCTTGCAGCCAGGATGTCCTGAGGCCTGGTTGTGTTCTGCGTCACAGCATTCTGCACTCATGACGTAAACATTTGTCGAGAGTGGACAGTGAGATTCCTGGGCGCTGGTGGGGGGTCAGCGGATGTCCTGGGAGGTGCATGAATTTCTTTTTTGTGTTTTGAAGGTGATTAGGACCACGGGGTTCATGAAGGGCCTCTACACAGATGTTGAGATGAAGTCAGATAACGTCAAGGTAGGTTGGCGCGGGGCTCCTCCTCTCCCTGTCCTTCCCCTGGGTGAACAGATGGTTTTAGGCCGCGGCTACCCCTTGTGTGAGGAAAATGCTGTGTGTAGTGGGGAGACGAGGCCCTTTAACTCACGAATGGCGTGGACCTTTCTCATTTCATCTTCTTGTTTGTGGCCAGTGCATGTTGTGCTAAATTTATCAACTGAAAAGCAGAATTAGTATTTCAAAGGTTAATGCAGCCCATCAGCTAACTTAATAGCTTTCATGAATTTTGTTGTGTTATGAAAGGTCAGTATTTCTAAATTTGTCATATATCTAAAAAGTGCTTTTTCTATAAAGAGGATCTATCCCATGTCTTTCAAACATTTTGATGATAATGCAAACTCTTTGAAGTATGTTAATATTTCTTTTAAATGGAAACATTTCAGGATAAAGATGCAAAAATTAGCTTCCTCCAGAAGGCCATAGATGTGGTCATGATGGTTTCAGGAGAGCCTTTGTTGGCAAAACCAGCCCGAATCGTGGCCGGGCACGAGCCTGAAAGAACAAACGAGCTGCTTCAGATAATTGCAAAGTGCTGCATCAACAAGGTAATGCTGCTTTAGATCATTGGACAGTGCTGCATCCACACGGTGACACTGCAGCACTGGCATTTTAAACTTAGTAGTGCTGAGTGGCAAGAAGTGGAGGGGGAGAGAGTGACTAAATATCGTGGGAGGTGTTTAAGGGGGAGTTCCAGTGGTACCCATTGAACCCTGCACTTTGAATTGGGTCCCACGTATTCTGGAGCTTGGAGGTGCAGGAGGAGCTTCTGTGATTGTGAGCCAGGGCCTGCAAAACACAGGATGGCAGGCTTTCTGTAGTACGTGGGGCCTCGTAGGTGCTTTGCTTTTGGCCTGGCAGCCCGAAGCTGTCTTTTGAAGCTGGTGTTGCCTCCTTTGTGGACAGCGTTTTACCCGCCCAGGGCGAGGGGCGCTGTAGGAGCTGCTCCTCAACTTCCGTCCTCGCCTTCCACACCTGTGCCCCTACTCCAGGCACCACAGGCCTGCACTGGGCTTGCTCCACCTCTCTGTGTCCTAGCCTCAGAGCGTGCTAGTTTTTAGGGAATGAGGTGGTCGAGTCACCTGAAGGGCCTTTCTGCTAGGACCCTGATCCCAGTGGAGGTGGAGAGGTTTGTGAGTTGTGTGGTTTTCAGCTTTACTGCTCCTGAACCACACTCACGTCCACCCTGGGCAGCATAGGTGGGACTGGACCAGGACTTAGTGATGAGTCATTAGTCATGGTGATCAAGAGACACAGGGCTTTGCCTATGATAATGACATTTTCTTTTAATATTTCATTCAAATTTTACTCATACAAAATCTGTCGAATGAACTCTCTTTGCTGGCGTTTGTGTTGTTGCCTGTGCTGATCTCGTTTTTTGCCTTGCATTCACCTCCTGGCCTGCGGAAAAAGCTCTCCAGCGAGGACGCAGTGCGGAGAGTTCTGGCTGGAGAGAAGGCGGACGCGAGAGGAAGGGCCTCCCGGACCTCCAAGCCTCACGAGTCAGACAATAAGAATGTGAGGGAAGACGACTCGAGAGCTCACAGAGATAGAGAGGTGACTGCAGTGGCACATCATTAAGAATGAAATGGTCTTTTTGCAGTTTAGGTAAAAACGTTTATATTTATGTATACATATATTTTTAGGATAGAAGAAATTCAGAAGTAAAAGAGAGAAGTACAAGCAGAGATGGAAAACAGAGAGAAGAACTGAAAGAAGAAAGCAAATCAAGAGAAAAAGAAAGGGACAAGGAGAAGATGAAGGACAATGACCGAGACCGGCACAAAGATGTGGAGAGAGACAAGTACCGGGAAGGGGAGAAGGAGAAAAGCAGAAGCAGGGCCAGGCAGGAGCGAGAGAGGGACAGAGACAGAGGCAACAAGGACAGAGACGCAGACCGGGACAAGGAGCGGGAGAGGAGGGGCGAGGCAGGGCGGGAGAAGGAGCGGCACCGGGAGCGCGACCGCGACAAGGGCAAGGACCGGGAGCGGCGGAGAGCGAGAAACGGGGAGCACTCCAGGGACCCCGACAGGGAGAAGAACCGAGAGCAGGAGAAGCTGGAGAGAAAGGTAACAGCCTGGGAGCTGGCTTTTTGGGGGGAGCCGGCCGTTCCTGAGGGTTTCCTTCTGTGGCGGTTTAAAGTTGTGCATTCCTGGTGGGAACCCCGCGAGATCACGGTTCTGCCAGGGTGCCTGGTTTTAAACGCATGGCCATTCTTGAAGAGCATGTGGTGGCCCCGGGGGCCCAGAGGACTGTGTGGTGAAGGGCGAGCGGAGGACCAGGCAGGGCTGACGGGGTCTTCAGACCAGTGAACCCCGGGTGGCAGGTCAGTCACAGGCCTTCCTGGGCCTTTTGTGAGGAGCGCTGCTCTGGGGGTGGCGGGAGGTAGCTTGGAGGAAGCTGGGAAAAGACCGCGGGGCGCTCGCTCTTTGTGAGCTTATTCAGTTTTCAGGGGTTGAGTTCATTTGCCCAGTTGCCCTTGTCATCTTGCCAGATGTGCTGAGATATGTTGCTTTGCACCTCTGTGACATGGCCTGCACTTGTGTTTGGTGGAGCTGGTCCCTGGCGTCATTGGAAGTGGCGTTTCAGCAGGGTCAGTGGCTGTGTGGTCTCTGGAGCTCGGGCACTACTGAGTTTGTTAAGGAGTAGAGACACCAAGTCTTTTGGACACTGGCAGAAAGGTACAATAAGACCTCAGGTTACTGTAATTCTTTTTATATTTATTTATTTATTAGTTGTAGTTGCACACAGTACTTTATTTTGCTTATGTATTTTATGTGGTGCTGAGGATTGATCCCAGGGCCTCGCACGTGCAAGGCGAGTGCTCTACTGCTGAGCCACAACCCCAGCCCCTGTCATTCTTTTTTAATGGAATTTTCAGGTAATTTTACGACTGGCCAGAAGCCTTGAATTTCAGACTGTGTCTTGTAAATGAGCAAGTTGCCTTTCTAGATGCCCTTCTTGTGGGACATCATCCTGGGAAGACAGGACAGTGGTCTGGTCTGTGGCTGCTGGCAGGGGAGGCAGAGGTCTGGCCTTGCTCCTGGACGGCCCAGGTGATGCTGCTGGGCAGTGAGGGCAAGGCCTGGGCTGGCCTCCAGCTCCCTGCCCCCACTGGCTGTCTTTTTCAGTAGTGCTGCCTCTGGGGCATCCCTGTCCCTGGGAGTGGGCTCCACAGGACTGACCTTGCTGGAAGTCTGTAAACTGGTTTTTCTCTGCAAGTCGGCATAAAGTTTTCTCTGCCCGCTGCAGCAAGCAAGGGGGCACCTATGCAAAAAGATGTGGTTTTGTTAGTATTTGAAATTGGTATTCTAGGGGGGACTGTCAGGTTGTAGTCTTCATAGTATCGCTTTCCCTCCATTCACGTCTGGAGTAACTAACACACCCTGGTTCTGTGTCGTAAAGACCTGGGGGCCCTGGAGGGTGAGAGTGCAGCCTCCCTCTTTACCACTTTTTAGCAGCCTGAGAAAAAGTATTTCGCCCTGATCTGCTTTTTGTAGCTGGCATGTTCTGGTATATTTGTAGGTGCTGGCATGTTCTGGTATATTTTTTGTGTGCATGAGGCAGCCCCTGAGTGGACAGCCTCCTCAGCAATTGGGGTCTTCAGACAGAGCCTCCCATATTGAGTTCACTGAAATTGCCAGTGCTGCAACTAGTCGCTTTAATACAGAGAAAGAAAATTCTAAAGATAAATGTTTGCAGGCTGATATTTGGGATGTGTGAGAGCCAAGTGGGAAAGATGGTTTTGTTGAGAAGGGCTGGAGGCCACAGTGAGGTGAAGTGGATTTGCTTAGGTCTTTCAGGTGATTCTGTTTGCCTGGCCTTTGTGAGTCTGGGGCGTCTTTATTAGCTGTGCTGAACTGGACAACAGCAGCAAGGTCTCCTGGTCAGAAGCACCATGCAGGTATGAGCTGCCGTGAGGTGCCTCTCAAAGATCCTGGTTCAAGTGACTTGTAAAATGGCCCTGAGGATGTCAGTCCTTAGTGGAGGCAGGAGATGCAGTTCAGGCCCTGCTCTGCCACATCACTGCCCTCTCTGGCCAAAGCCTGACTGTCTTGGAGGGAGGGCGACAGGGTGCGCAGGCTGCCCAGACAAATTCTTTATTTTATTCTATTGGCAGTCCTGGGAGGTTAGCCCAGGGCCTTGCATGATGCTGGCAAGCACTCCACTACTGAGCCACATCCCCAGCCCTTTTTATTTTTCTTTGGAGACTGGGTCTCACTAAGTTGCTGAGACTGATCTGGAACTTGCCATCCTCCTGCCTCAGCCTCCTGTGAGTTGCTCAGGTTATAGGTGTGCACCCAGCCTGCCCATGGTTTGTGTGGTGGACGGTAAGATAGAGACGGAGGCATCCTGAGAAGTCAGGAGTGCTACGGGGTTATGGTGTGGTGGCTGGAGCCCAGGTGCCAGGTTAGACTGGCCGTCCATGAGCCCCAGATGTCACCCTACATGGTGAGCACATGAGTGTGGCACCTGCTGGGCCCCTTGACCATTGGGTGATGACCACCTGTACCATCTGATGTGTCTGTCTGAAGAGCATGTTTCATTGTTGAAATACTGAACGAGTGTCCTTTGACGTCCTGTGTCCAGATGTGTAGATGGCGTTGACAGGAGTCATGTGGCTTAGGAGGGTGCCTTCCTGACTGTCTGCAGCCTTTGCTTATGAAGAGTCACGCCATTCCAGTTGCCCCATTATTAGAAGATGCTCAAATATCAGAAGACGGGCTCTGGAGTTTAAATTCATCCCATCCCATTCTGCACCTCCTGGGCTGTCATGGTCAGGGGATTGGCCTCTGCGTAGTCCCCTGCCAGGCAGGAGTGTTTGGTGTCCTACTCCGGTGCTGCTCGCCAGGAGCACTGAGGTTCCAGCAGCAGTGACCGGACGGGCTGCTCAGGTCTGTGCAAAGGGTTGTCTTGTTTGTACGTCAGTATCATGGACCAATGGACCAGAGCTTGATTTGTTTTTAGGTATTACAGATGTGAATATTTCCAAAATTTGAAGGAAAAAAAATATATATATATATATTTTTTTACAGTCAGCAAGTTCAGGGGAGATATCTAAGAAGTTTTCAGATGGATCCTTTAAAGACTCCAAGGCGGAAACAGAGGTAGAGTTTAAACAGCAGTTTCCAGAGGTGTGGCCTGGAGTTGGGTGGTGGATGTGTGTCCTCCCTGGACGAGTGGGGCTGCGGCTGGGGAAAGGCTGTCTCAGGAGTGGTGGAGCGGCATACCTCCTGGCACGTGTCGGGTGGTTTCTGGGCCTGCACCTTTGGTGAGCGTGATGTATGGTGCTGAGGGGAGTGGTGACAGGGGCACTCGGGTGAGTCGGGAAGGGGACTGAGTTGGAGGCTGCTGGGGAAGGGAGGGCCCGCTGAGGCTCTCGCTCAGTTTAGCCTGGCAATGCTTGGGACCTCACAGTGTTTCCTGTGGCTGAGGTCCGCTCGTGGCCTGTCGTCCCCGTGAGGCCATGCTGTAGAGGTTGGCAGAAGGGGCCCTTGAGGGCTTAGCTGACTTCCATAATTGTCTGACGGTAGGGACATGGAGTCAGCCGCACGAGGGCGGGGGCCACTGGGGCTGCTCTGGGGAAAGGGCGGGCGGGGGCTGTGCTGCCTTCCCCCACTGTGTTCTCCAGAAGCACAGGTGAGAGGTTTTACTTTCAGAGTGGCATACAAATGCATTTAAGTAGTTCAGTACAGTCGTGTGTCACATGGCAGTGTCTCAGTGGCGGACTGCACGTCCAGAGGTGGTCCCACACTGGTCCCACATTTGTCCCACTGGCATCTCAGTGTGCACAAGTGCCCTCCAGGGCGTTGGGCCTTGCAGTCCTCTGACAACTGTGACCGGCATTAAGCACATGTGACAGGCAGTGTTTCTCGAGTGCCCTTAGCAGATTGCTGAGCTGCCTAGGGCTGCACAGAGAGGCCTGTGTGGAGGCTGGAAGAGGTCTGGACTCCCTCTTGGGTCCCCAGCACGTAACTGCACCGCGTGGCAAGTCCCCTAAAGCCTGTGCTGCTGCTGCTGTTTTCATACTTGGTTTCCTTGGGCAGAGCTTGAACAGTGAGTCTGGTGCTATTGCTGTGTGAAGCTTCCATTGATTTTTGTCTTTTCTTCTCTCTAAGGCTGAGATTTCCACCACAGCGTCCCGGTCATTGACATCAAAAACATCAAAACGACGATCCAAAACTTCAGTGGAAGGTACTGCCGAGCTGACTGTGGCTCAGACGTGGGTCTTAGCTCTGTTGCCTCTGTCCCACTCTCTGGTAGCAGACTCGTGGCTGGTCACAGGTCTACCGGGCCTGGAAACAAACAATGGGGAGAACGCACGTGTACACACTTGTGTGAACTCAACCACTCAGGGCAAAGCCGCCCCTTTTGCTGTAGACCTGTGCTGGAACTTAAAAGGGGTGATTGGATTTTCGTTTTCCAGAGTGTGTGTTGGTCGTCGGGTCGCAGGGCTCTTGTCTTTCCCATTGGGCATGCAGAGCACGCAGGCAGATGACGCACGTGCCTGTGGTTAAAAATAGCAGGAGTGAGCACTGGACTCATGCAGAAAGCCACGCTCACAGGTCTGGCCTGGGGTTTGGCTGAAAATGGAACGTTACTGTGACACACCAGCAGCAGGACCAGAGAGGCAGGGAACGCAGGGCTGTGCTGGCCAGAGCTGCTCTTGCTGGAGGCTCTGAAGAGCAGAAGAGGTTTCTGAAACTCCACGCTTTCCTGAATCCTGTAGGTTAGGGTGGGACAGCGTGGTAGTTGGAATTATCCGGAAGTGAACTTACATAAGATCTGTCCCTTCCCAACAGTCAGTGAGTGATGCTCTAGGGACGTCCTCTCGGTGGTGCCCTGTCCCAGCCCAGAGGAGTGAGCGCTGGCACGGGGCTCCTCTATAGGTGCCTTCTGCCCGCCCTCCAGTGTTTTGAAGGCTGAATTTTTGGTGGGTATTGGCACTCGACCACTGAGCCACATCCCAGCCCTGTTTTGTATTTTTTTTTTAGAGACAGGGTCTCACTGAGTTGCTTAGCGCTTTGCTTTTCCTGAGGCTGGCTTTGAACTTGCAGTCCTCCTGTCTCAGCCTCCCAAGCCATTGAGATTACAGGTGTGTGCCACTGCGCCCGGCAAGGCTTTCTGATTTTTTTTTTAAATATATTTTTAGTTATTGATAGATATTATTTTATTTATTTATATGTGCTGCTAGGCATCGAACCCAGTGCCTCACACAGGCCAGGCAAGTGCGTTACTGCTGAGCCCCAGCCCCAGCCCCAAGGCTTTCTGATTTTGATAGTCAAAAAATTGGGAAGTTTAATTCCTAGTGAGATTGCATTTTTTCATGTGAGTCCCTAGTTTTGACTGGGGTCTTGGATTTGTCTGTTCTTTCTTGATTCCTCATTGACTCTCTGGAGATGCAAGAGTTCTTGTTATTTTGTGTGAACTCTTTGTATGTTAAGGACCTCAGCCAATTTTTAAGTAAGTGTGTTTTTTATATTTTTGCGCTTCATTTTTACTAATTATGTTCAGTTTGGTTTTGGATTTGCCTGAGTGCTTAATTTTTATGTGCTTGAAGCTTTTGGTAATTTGTGTAAAGATTTGTGAGTTGAAGATTTGTGTTTTAGCATACATTTTAATATTGAGTCTTCGTATTCATCTCTTACTTTCATTCCTGGCATATGCCAAGGCGCTGACTTACTTTTTTAGAATTCTTTGCCTGCTGTGCCAGGATCACTTGCTAATTAAGGGTACCTTTCTGCCTGATGGCTTAGTTGCACCTGTCAAGGTCTGGGATCTTGTTCGCTTTCCACTTTCACTGGTCTCTGTTTTACTACTGTTTCCTGTCAGTGTTCTTTTCAGAAAAGTTTTAAGCCATTTTACTTGCTTATCTGTTCAGATGAATTTTAAAATTGCCACATGACTCAAGAGCCCCCTGCAAAGGGAGCAGCCACTTCTCAGAGGGTGGCTGCCTCCAGCTGCAGTCTGCAGGGTCTGTCCAGGTGGTGGCTGAGTCGTGTCTGTTTTCGTGTTTGGAGATGCTGTCTTTCCCCCTTGTTGTTAGTGGCTTGTGGGTTTCACTGACTGCTCTCACTGTCTGCACTCTGGCCTTGCTGCTCATCCTGATCCAAGGGATCTTGGTTGCTTCTTCGGGTTTCCCGAGCTCACAGCTGAGGCATCTCCATCTCTGACACGCAGGGTGTTCCTTCGTCTGTGTGTACGGCCGCCTTCTGCTGTGGGCTCTTTCTTTCTGGGTGCTCTTCAAGAGTTTTCTATTGGAGACTGCACCCTTGACAGCAGTGAGCTTCTTGGCGGTCAGCAGTTCAGGGGCTCCTGTTTTTGCTGCTGGCTGGCCAGGCACTGACCTGGCCCAAGTCTGCCCCAGCTGAGCTGGTGCTCGGCCCAGACCTTTGGCCTTGCTTGGGTGGGTTGGTACCTGGGCAAACACCTGGACCCGGGGGTGCTCAGTGCATGGGACCTCTGTGCCCTGCATCTACTAGAGTATGGCACATGTTCATAGGATGAATGTGGACAGCCGTACTAGCCTACAGAACCCAAGGCCAGTTGACAGAAGAGTAGGATAATTTTTGCTAATTCATGAGGAGTGTGTTCTAAAGGAAATCATAACTTGGAATTAGTGTGTTTGGTTTCATTCATTTGGTAACTATGCAGCATTACAAGTTAAGTGTAATACATATTTTCGTTGTGCAATTTCATGTCAGGAAGAAGGGACTCTAGAACCAGTGAACACAGTCTTTCCCCAGAAAAAGAACGTAACTCTTCCTACACTAAAGCTAAGAAGGAGCATGCTGGGAAACAGCTCGGTAAGACTAAGCCACAGTGGGACTGAGAGCGCGTGTCTGCCTGGGCAGTTGTTTGCCACCTGATTCTGTGCCTCAGCGCCATCTCAGAGCAGGGGAGCCTCACAGGGGGTCACGTGGGCCTGGCCAGAGTGGAGGAGGGCAGGAGGACAGCTGCTCCTGGGCCACAGGGCTGTTCTCAGCAGCCAAGGGTGTGCTACCCTAAGTCTGCTTGGGACTGAGATTATCCAGTGACGCCTTCCTTTCTTTATTTGGAAGACATTTATACTCATGAGGAGCTGAGAGGGTGCCTGTATTCATGTTGATTAGTGATGAGGATTTTTAGTGAAAAAAGAAGCCAGGAAAAGCAGGGAGGAAGGCAAGGCAGGGAGGGCCCCTGTCTGGGGACATCTGGACGGGTGACTCGCTGGGGAGGAGGACCTGCAGGTGTCCAGGGACCCTGAGTAGAGACCTGAGCTGGTTGGACTTGCTGCCTGCAGGGCAGGAAGCCCAGCTGTGGAGCTGGAGAGGAAGGAGGGGCAGTGTTGGGGGAGGGGCTGCCCCAGCAGGGGCCTGGGGCCTCTGCCCTGTGTCTACAGGTGGCTGGTGGCTGGAGGACCTGGAGGGCTTTGAGCAGGACAGACGGGGACAGAGTCAGGGTGTGTGTTTTAAAGGGCCTCCTCGTAAGATCGGAGGGCAGGAGTGGAGGCCTGGGACAGCGAGGAGCTCCTGGCGACTGGATGGGGAGTGTGTTGGCTCGGAGCAGGTGTCGGTGGTGATAGCGTGTGAGGGGCAGGAGAGAGGACGACGGCTGTGCCCATGGACAGGGTACCACTTGTTTCAATGAGAGGAATCCGAGAGAAGACCGCTTTGGGGGGTTCTGGGCACCTGCGCAGTGCAGCTTGCTGAAATGGCAGGCTGCTGCGTGGGTGGCTGTACCAGAACACAGGTCTGACTGCGCACGCGGAGGTCCTCGAAGACGGTGGGATGTGAGACCTGTGATCAGGGAGAGTTGCAGAGGTTGGAGGTGACACAACCTGAGGTTCTGGCCATGATGATGTTTACAGCCGTGGCTCTGGGGGAACAGGGTGTGTTGAGCTCTGCGGGGACGGGACTCCAGGGCAGCGGGCAGAGGACAGGGCTATTGTTAGGAGAGGCTGTCCTGGATGTGGGGAGGGCGTCTCAGGGAGGGGAGGGGGCTTCTGTCCAGTCTGTGGGAACCGAGTGGAGGCTGAGAGTGGACCACTGAGAGGACATGGTGGTGTGTTGGTGGCCCTGACCCAGACCCCTGTAAATCCCAACTAAAGCAAGCATATACTGAAACCTTTGTAATATGTTAATTTGTTGTTAACTATTTTATGTCAGGAAGGAAGGAGGATAATATTTCAGGTAAAAGTTTAGACCCCATAACGTCTGGATTAAATGATGAACCAGATCAGGAAACTACAGCTTCAGAAATAGGTAAGAAAAAGGTATTTTCTAGTTTAAGTTCCTCAACACCTTGATGTACAGTTGCGACATCTTGGTGTAGTTCTAAGTTTTTTTGTATTATTCTTACCACTCCAGTGTTAGTCAGATTTTTTTAACATTGTGCTGAAGATCAGAAATGACTTGATGTTTTATTTTCTTTAATTTTGCTCCATTGTGACAGCTTTAAGTTAATCTTTACATGAATTTTATATTTAACTTCTATTTTTTTTTTATGTCAAAGTGCATTCTTAATTTTGCTATTGGAATTTTTTTTAATCTTTAGCCTACTGTGCTGCTAGAATTTCTCCACAATAAAGATTTTAGGCAGCACGCCTGCAACACACTGCGCTTGCTGGTTCACAGCCAGCACTGATGGTGTGCCGCTGCGCGTGGGTGGGCAGTCCTCAATGAAATATCAGTCCCGCCAGTCTTCTGTGTCCCGAGACCAAATTCTTCAGAAATATTAGAATTTTTGAGTTGTATTCAAGAAAAAAGATAGTGTAAGTTTTTTCTAGGAGAAGATAAAAGTTTTTGTTTCCATCTGCATTTTTAAGATTCTGGAAACGTGGCTAGAATGGCGAGTGGTGTCTTCGAGGACTTCCCTCGCTGGGAGGGGTGCTAAGAGTGGCTGATGTCTTGGTGTGGCAGGCGTGGTGCGGAAGCCCGGGGGCCGTGCTGGGTCACTGTTCCAAGCAGGCAGCTGTAGGCCTGGAGCAGTGAGGGGGCTGGGCCGTGGGTGAGTTCTTACTCCACTGTGTACTTGTGCGTCACATTCAGCCCCATCTTGTACTGGGTCTTATTTTTAAGGGATCTTTTTTCGTCTCCAGGCTCCTGTGGGGGAGCTGGCCAGGTGTCCTGTGCTGTAGGAGAGGGTGAGGGCAGTGGTGAAGGCTTGGAGGAATGGCAATTGGTAGGCCATGGAGTGACCTGTGTCAGTGTAGCTGGGGACACCACGTTCACACCTTTCCCACTCACTACCTCCTGGCCTGGAGCACCTGCACGGATGGGTCCCCTGAACACAGTGTGCTCATAGCAAATGGTTGTACAAATGCTCGCCTTGAGTTTGGTGTCTGGATAGCAGCTGAGTGACAGGCGTGCTGTGTGACAGGTCACTAGCTGAACAGACAGCCCCAGATCAGGCTTGTGGACTTTAACACAGGTTGAATACCAGGCGTGTATTGAGCATAAGTGTGAAAATAGTGAAACCTGGGGCGTGAAGAGGTGCTCACTGCAAACCTTGTTTCTCAGTGGGGTGTTTTGTGGGTGAGAATGAAGCTTGGTTGTCCAGCGGGGAGCATAGCCCTGCTCACATGTGCTCCCTGGGGCTGGGAGAGGCCCTGGTCCCTCTTTTTCCTTCCTCACCCTTCACTTTGGGCTGGGGTGCCTTCACAGTCACCCTGCTGCTCTGTGGGTGCTGTTGGGAACTCCTGGAACTCAGAGGCTGCAAGCAGTTGTTTCTAGAGCTGAGCATGGTTCCCAGGCTCCCTGCCCTGGTCTGGGGAATAGGCCTTTCCTCACCGCTACCTCTCATTCCTAAGTACTTCAGAGGAGAGGAAAGCGGCTGTGTTGGCCAGAGTGCTGGCCACACCTGTAATCCCGGCAACTCAGGAGGCTGAGTTAGGAGGATTGCAAGTTCAAGGCCAATCTGGGCAACTTAGTGACACCTTTTCTCAAAAAAGAAAACAAACAAACAACAGTGAGGTGGGGGATGTCACTTAGGGGTAGAGCACGCTGGGTTCAATCCCCAGGGCCAAAAAGGGAAAAACAGGTGCAGGCAGCTGTGGTGTGCTGATGCAACTCAGATGCCAAGATTCTGGGCCTGTGCTGGGACCTGCCAGGCCCGCTGACTCTGCTGTCTCAGGTTGTCCGAAGAGAACTTGTGGGTCTTGTTTTTAGCATTTTGCATTTTGGATGAAGAGTTTAAAAAGGCACTCTACTGTTCCTTTTTAAAGTGTGAATGGTTTCTTTCTGCTCTCCAAGTTGTAATGCCAGCTGTAGGCTGTGCCTTTTCTTAACCTATGACAATTCCAAGTTCTCTGGAATGTAAACTGTACCTTTCTTTTGCTTAATTTCTCTCATTTCCTTTTTTTTTTTTTTGGTACCAGGAATTGAACTCAGGGGCACTCGACCACTGAGCCACACTCCCAGCCCTATTTTGTACTTTATTTAGAGACAGGGTCTCACTGAGTTGCTTAGCACCTCGCTTTTGCTGAGGCTGGCTTTGAACTCGTGGTCTTCCTGCTCTCTTTCCTTTTTGTTGCATGGTTTAAGTTTTTTTAAAAAAAATATATTTATTTTTTAGATGTAGTTGGATATAACACCTTTATTTAGTTTATATATTTTTATGTGGTGCTGAGGATTGAACACAAGGCCTCGCACATGCATGCCGCTGTATCACTGACCTGTATCCCAGTTTTTTTATCATGAAAAATACAAGAAAGTAGAAAGAATAGTGCAATTTATACTCAGGCACTCACCCAGGCTGAGTGGTTCCAACATTATGCCTCACTTTAGCTCTATATTTTTATGAATGATTTCAAGGCATATTGCAACATCCTAATAATATATTTTTAAATACTTCAGCATGCAGCTCAAAAAATAAAATGAGATGGTCTACATAGCCACAGAATTCTTACCTCACTGAACAGAATCAAAATTTCCCAGTAGTAACTATTTTTATTCCAAAATGGTTTTCATGTTTAAAAACCCCTGGTTCTGTGAGGACATTTAGTAGCCAATTGACGAGGCTGCAGTCTCTGAGGCTGCTGAAGAAGGCGGACTGTCGGGACTGCCTGCAGCGGCTCTGTGGGCAGCCATCCAGCGACTGGTTTCGGTTGCAGGACCTGATGGACTGCAACTCAGGTCTGTGTCCAGTGGCAGCCCCAGGGTCTGAACTTGGGAAGTCTGGTGCCAAGGCCCTGTCCTTCCCTGTGGGATTTCTTGCTTACTAGATAGTTCCAGATAGCAGATTGTGCTGAGGCAATGATTGTTTCACCCTGCACAGTAACTTTGATTTCTTAATAAGTGCATTATTTTAGTCTTTTAAAAGTATTATTCAATAAACTAGTTGATTTGCCCTTTGTGAGTAAAAATTGATTGTAGTGTTTTTAGTGAGTATATAGCCTGTTTGTATTGTCCTTTGTGTTTGTGGGAACTTAGGGTTTAGTAAAGCTTATATTCACTAGAACTTGGAAAAGATAAATTCATCTCCTTGAACTCCAGACAGAAGACAGTACATTTGCATCTACCTGCTACGATCCTGGGTTCTATAGAATTCAGAGAATCTTTGCTGTGCCCAGTTGTACACACCTCAGCAACTTGGGGAGCTGGGGCAGGAGGGTCACATGTTCAAGGCCAGCCTCAGCAACTTAGTGAGGGCCTGTCTCAACATAAAAAAATAAAGTGTTGAGTGTGTGTGACTCAGGGGTACAGTGCCCCTGAGCTTAATCCCCAGTACTGCAAATAAATAAGTAAATAAATAGAACATCTTTGACACTTTTAACTAAAATATGACAACTTAGGTTTATTAGAGTGCTTCATTCTAAAATTGACAAATCTACAACTGCCAAACATATTCATTTTTAGATCTTAATATTTTATATTCATTCTTTGGCTACCTTTTAGGAAACATCATAAGTAATTAGCTGTTAGACTGTTTAAATCAACATAATTTTTACAGAGATTTCCTTACAAAACTATGTCATGTGGCTGGGGTGGTGGCTCAGTGGTACGGCACTTGCCTAGCTTGAGTGAGACATTGGGTTCGATCCTTAATATCACATACAAATAATTTTTTTTTTAAAGTGAAGATATTGGGTCTATCTACAACTAAAAAAAGATATTTTGAAAATACCATCAATTTAATGTAATTCTATTACCTAAATAAAGCAGTTATTTGCTAGTTAATTTCGGGTTGATTCTGATGTAAGCTATTTCTTTAAATGATTTTAAGACATCTAGGATTGGGTTTGGGGGATGTTTTTCCAGTTTCATCTTTATTTAGACAGTGGTGTGTCTTGGACCATGGGTCGGTTTTTCAGCTCTGGGTCCTGCCATAATTCAAAACCTCTTCCTCCAGCACCTCCTGTGCCCTTTTTGTTTTTAATAGGGAAATATTTTATTTTATTTCTCAGGTATTCCATTTCTTTTCTATTTTCAAGACTTCAGAGCACAGTGATGAGACCCTGTTTTGTGATTCTCAGTATGTCTAGGAGAGTACATGTGTCAGGATACCTTTCTTTTCCTCCTGCTTTCCTGGAACAGCCGGCTCCTGGGCCTGACTGTGGTGGGAGCCAGCAGAACCAAGTGGTTCTGTGGGTCCGACTGGTTCTAGAAGTGGAGGTGGATGCGGGCTGCTTTGCCCAGGGAGGCCCAAGAGTCCCTCTTGGGTCAGTGGGCTGGGAGGGGCCTGCTCACAGACTGGTGCCCAATCCCAGAGCCACAGTGCAGGAGGAACATTTTAGATGTGTTTTCAAAGCTGCTTTTGTCAGTTTGGTCAACTTGCAGCATGGGGAAAGGTGGGCGTGTGAGCTCTGGTTAGCCGTAACCCAGAGGGCTCAGGATGCCACTGATCACCAGCCCTTCAGGGTACAGTCTGAGTGACCGATTTTAAACTGTTTTATGTCAGGAACCAAAGAAACCATTACTAACTCAACTAGTGTTTCAGATGATAACTCCACTACTCTGTGGCGTGAGAGCGTTGAGCCCGACCCAGCAGTAAAGCAGAAAGGTAAGAACTGCCAGAGTGCACCTTGCTGGTGGGAGGAGACTGCCCCAGGGTCGGCCACTGCCGGGCACTATGCCTGCTCCCATGGGTGCAGCTGGGTAGGGTTTGCCCTGGGGCTTTTCCCATGAGTGACAGAGGCCACTGCTGGTAACAGGCGGCATCCTTTTTGAGGGCAAGTGGCAGCATTCATGACTCAGGGCTGCCATAGATGGTCCCTGGATAGAAAGCCTGCTGTTCTCCGAGCTCGCTGCCCTGCCCATAGCTCCCCCCTGGAGGGCTCTCAGGCTGTAGTGTTCTCGGGAAGTCCTGGGGGAGGTGGACCCGAGGTGTCCGGGGAGCGCTTTCACTCTGCGAGTGGGTCTGATCTCTGCGTGCCTGGGTGGGACTGGGCCTGGCTAGAGGTTGGGTGCGGATGATTGCTGGTCACTCTGCCCCACCTGATGTCCAGGTCATTGTGGAAATGCACCTGGTGTGGGCCCTTCCATAGGTGTGTACATGTATTTAAAAAGTGTCATGAAAAGATGATTCATCTCAGCTTTGAATCCACTCCTGCCCTGCCCTGTGGCACTGCTGCTTGCCTGTGACTGCTTGGGCCACGTGTCCCCTGGGGCAGTGCAGGAGTGTGGCTGGGAGATGGCCTCAGGGAGCTGGTGCATGGCCGAGCTCACCTGGTTCTGAGTAGTGTCTTGGCACCCGCCTGAGCTGTCTGGTGGCACTTCCCTGGGCCTCCTGGCTGTAGGGCTTTTCCTCGTTTCTGTCTGTGAAACACTCTTCACATCCCTGCTTCTGGCTTTCATGGGAGTGCATTTTATGATTCACAGTCGAAAATGGCAGGAGACGGCAGCCGGGACACTAGGAAGGGCTGCGAGGAAATGGCCTCTTTCCCAATAGATGTCCAAACTCGGGACGTGTCTCCTCGGATTCTGTTCAGGCCACTGGATGCATTGAGGTTGACTAATACGAAAATTATTTTTTTCTTATGCTTTTTTTTAGGTGACTCCATCAGTGATGCAGGTGAGAATGGCTTTAAGTATACTTGGTGTATTTGTGTCTGTGTGTGGGTAAGAAACACTTCAAATCTACTTTACACACTGCACTAGTGAAAGTAATTTATTTTGAGGAAATATATCTTAACTATTTAGTTATCAATTTTGTTTGTCACCTTTTTGTTACGCTGACGAATACCTAAGATGATAATCAACTTATGGAGAGAAAAGGTTTACTTTGGATCATGGTGTCGGAGATGTCAGTCCAAGATCAATTGGCTTGTTGCTCTGGGCCTGTTACAAGGTAGCATGTTACAGCAAGAGCTCATGGGGGTCAAAGCTGCTCACCTCGTGGCCGAGGAGCAAAAAGAGGGGATCAGGGTTCCCTTCAAGGACATGTCCCCAGTGATGGGAGGTCCTCGGAGTTTTCACCAATGCCCAACTGTGCATGTCCTCAACACGTGGGCCTGGGGGAGCGTCCAGGTCCCAACTGCAGCACCAACTGAAGGTGTGATAGGCGGTGGGAATCCACGTGTGAGTGTCACCTGAAAAGAATACATTTCAGGACGTTTCTTTCCTCAGAGTATATAGTACATTCCCAATTTTCAGATGTTGATGTTTTTACTACTTTTTAAAGTGTAAATTTCTTTCAATAATGGAGTAAATTTGTCTTAGTAGTTTGGCTTGTAACTTGCTGATTAAATCTTTTTTAACTAATGTGAAGAAAACTTATTCAGATTATAAAAATACTGTGGTACATAACCAAAAGTAGAAAATTTAAAAATGAAGAAAAAGCTGAGTGTGAAAATAAAAAGCACTGGTAATTCCATTGCTTGTAATCTCCTCTGGGACTGCGTGAGTGTAGACATGATCACTAGGCTATCGAAGTGCTGTTATTCATCATACGTTAACATGGTAATGAGGTTTTGCACCAAAGGGCCTAGCACGTGATGGTAATATGATGGACTTAGTCACCGAGCCATCCTGTTGACAGGGGTGTGCATCTGGCCAGATGTACATCAACACCTGGCCATTGCTTTTCTTAGTTTGTATTTCCTTTAAGTTAAATTGTCCCTATATTTTGAGTTTTATTTCTTGAGTAGCTGAACGAGTTTGTTCCGGAGTTTCAGTACATCATTTCCCAAAATCTTCACTAAATTTAGATATCATGTCTGTCTTATCTTCATTAAAATCATGGATGAGAAAATAGTTCATTTATACTTGGAATCGTTTGCTGCCTTTTCAAATACTTATGTTTGAATTAATATTTATATTCGAATTAAATATATTTTAATTAATCTTGAATTAAATATCACTTGTTCTTTGTGTTTCTTTCTCTGAATTGCTGGCTGGATTGTACCTGTTTAGAAGGAGACACTGGAGCTACTGGCCAAGATAAGTCTGAGGTGTGCGAGAATCCAGAAGCCCCCAGCGAGCTGTCCTCCAATGTCAGGTGTGTGCTTTCTGCTGCTGGAGAGGAGTGCCTGCTGGGGCCTGCTGTGGCGCTCTGCCGGCTCCTCAGGGCTTGAGCTGAAGTAGGTGGAATCGTGTGCATTGAAGGTAGCCAACACCGCTTCTGTGGTTTTTCTGTTCCTGAGCTGTGTAACTGCACGTAGTGCAGAGTGGGTTTGGGGAGATTGCCGCCTGTGGCCGAGTACTGACTGTCGGTAGCTGGGTGACGTGAATGGGTGTTGTCACTCTCCTGACTAGCATGTTGAGGTGGAATGGGAGTTAGCCTTGACCTGAGTCTGAGTTTTCTTTTGTCCAGTGTGAAATGTTCATCGTTTTGTGTCCTTTTGATTTTCCATTGTTTGGGTGGGTTTAGAAGAATACCTCGACCTGGCAGTGCTAGACCGGCGCCTCCCCGGGTCAAACGGCAAGAGGGCGTGGAGACCTTGATGATGGACAGGTAAGGCGAGTTGGCTGGGTGGCCCCGTTGCCCAGGTTGGCCATCCGCTCCACTGTGTGTGTGTGCTGTGGGTTGGACGGGCGTTGGGGCTGGGCAAGAGATGGGCAGGTGAGCAGTGGAAGAGAAAAGCGAGGCTGGGTCCTTGCCTCAGGCCGCAGAGCAGTGTGCGTGGCAGGTGATGAGGAGGAGAGACACATGTCTGCGTGTGGTCACTTCTTGAGGTTCAGGAGACATGTTGGGCTACGAGTCTGTGGTCTCTAGTTGGAAGACTTGAGCGTGAAAACAGTGAGGGTGAAATAGGGTGGAAGGGGTTAAAGGCTTAATTGCCAAAGGCCACACAGTTGTCCAGAAGTGGTAAGTCCTGCGGAGACTGCAGGCAGGCTCCGTCAGGGTGGGCTTCAGTGGAACCCAGGCAGGGCGAGGAGACAGCACGTGGAGACCTGTTTCCAGGCGCTTCTCTGTGAGAGCAGCGGAGGATGGTGTGTGTGTGAGAATGCGCACGCACATCCTCTGGAGTGGTGGCAACTGGATGCTCTGGAGCATGCTGGCAGTCACCTGGGGAGGGCTGAAGTCAGGGGCTGATGGCCCAGCTGCAGGCGACCAGGGCCCCCGCAGAGGGAACCTGGGTGAGAGCAGGTGGTCACCTGGGAGGTCAAGGTGGTGGGCCAGGCTGTGGGATGTTGGCCGACTCGTAACAAGGGCAGGACTTGGGTGGACAGGAATGGTGTAGTGGGTGCTGGGCAGGGATACAGGCCATGGTGGGGACACGGGCAAGCAGGGCCTGGGTGCCACAGGAGGGGCGCCAAGGAGCTGCTTTGTGCAGAGGGGAGGTCTGGGGCAGCTGTGGCCTTGGGGCTGCCCATGCCACCCCTGCCTGAAGTTTATGCCTGGAGCACAGGCCTTCCAGGTAGAGGGCAGAGGCTGAAGCGCTGGGTAGGGCACACATGGACGAGGCAGAAGCCTTGGGTCTTTGCGGGTAGAGGGAGGCTGACTGTGGCCAGGAGCTCTGTGCAGCAGGGAGGGGGCGTGGTGGGAGGCGTGCCCATGCGGCCAGGCCCTGGGGCTGGGGGGTGGTGGTGAACTTCCTCTTAGGTAACCTCTTGCACAGGGTTGGGGAAAACCTGGTACTGATGGGCCATTGCTGATGTAATCTTGTTTCTTCTTATTTAGGACAGGGAGTGGTAAAACCGTCTCAAATGTGATTATAGATTCACAGAATTCAGACAATGAAGACGATGATCAGTTTGTGGTGGAGGCTGCCCCTCAGATCTCCGAAATGTCCGAAATTGAAACGGTCAGTTCACAAAGGGTGGTGTTTCTAGTAACTACACACAAACATCATGTCAGTGCTCCAGCTTTTAGACTTATGTAGACAGAATTTTCCGATTTTTTGATTTCTTTTCTACTTTCTTTAATTTGATCCTTCCTTTTTTGAGTTCACAAGTGTCATTTCTGAGAATTCAGCTGCCTGCATCTTCTTTTTTCTTGGTTCCTTTCTTGCTTAGGTGCCAGCGCTGGAGCTGGAGGACAGCGAGAAGCACGGTGAGTCCTGATGCTGGGCGCAAGTGTGCCCCCGCAGTGTGACCCGTCAGAGTGTGCGAGCCAGGGGCCTGGTGTTGGTGTGTTTGCATGTAGGTGTTCTGTCTGTTGGCACATTTGCACGTACATGCGTGTGCCCCATTTGTGTTGGCATGGACCTGAACATGTACCTCAGGTGGTTACAGTGTTCCCAGGCATGTGTGCCTGTAAGTGTGTAGTCCTGTTCATGTGTACATGTATGTGCTGCGTGTGTTGGCACTCCCCTGTGAATGTATTGGCTTGTACCTGTGTCATGCATGTACCCTTCTGTGTTTTGGTGTGTGTGGACATCCTCTTGTGATTTTTGCATGTATGCATGTGCCCCATGGGTGTTTATGTTCCTGTTTACATGGGTGTGCCCCCATGTGTTGGTATTTTCACGGGTAGGTGTATGGGCCACCCTGTGTGTGTTGGCATGTTTGGGTGTGCATATGTGCACCCTATGTGTGTGATGGTTTTTCATGTGTGGGCCTCCTCTGTGGTGATGTGTTCATGTGTACAGGTGTGTGCCCAGAGTGTTGGCATGTTACCACCTGTGCATGTCCACCCTGTTGGTTTGTTATGTACGTTCATGCACCCCTTGCGTGTTGGTGTATTTACATGTTTCATGTGTGCAGCTCTGTGTATAGGAATGCTTGAGTGTATGTGCCTGTGTCCCATGTGTGTTTGTGATTTTGTGTATAGGATGGTACTCCCTGCCTGTGTTAGAGTAACTGTGTGTGCAACCTGTGTGTTGGCGTGTTCACATGTACTGTGTGCCCCTGTGTTTTGACATGTTTGTGTGCATGTTCCCTTCTTTTGGTGTGCTCGCATGCACATGTCTGACACGTGTTGATATGTTGATGTGTATGTGTGTGCATTCCTGTGTTTTGTGTGTTCTCATGTATGCATGTGCTGTTTGTTTTGGCGTGTATGTGGGCATGCCCCCTTTTTGTGTTTTCTTGCAGGTTGTGTGACCCCTCTTTTGGCATATTGGTGTGTGTGAGTGTTCTCCTCTCTCTGTGTTGGCATGTTCATATTAACATGCTCCCTGTGTGTTGGTGTGTTTGTATGTATGTTCTTGTGCCCCTGTGGGCTATTGTGTTCCCATGTACGCATATGCTTCCCCTCTGTGTGTCGGTGTATTTGCTTGTATGCACGTGTACCACACCTTGGTGTGTTCCATTGTACATGCATGCACGCCCATCTTTGTTGGTGTGTTTCTGTGTATGTGTGTTTCCTGTTTGTTGGTGTGTTTGTGTCTGTTCCTTCTTGTGTGTTGGCATGTCCACATGCATGTGTTCGCATGTTTGTGCATGCATGTATGCACCCCTCCTTTGGTGTGTTGGTGTGCACATGTGAGCACCCCCTCTGTGTGTGCTTTGGAAGGGTCAGCCGTGAGTGGCCGTTGTGGGGGGCCGCTGGCTGGGGTTCTGCTCAGCTACATTAGGGCACAGCTGGCTGATAGTCCACCCCAGGAGGTGGAGCTGGAGGAGCTGCGGATACTGTGCCAGTGACCTTTTCTCGTCAGTTCTCTTACCTGTGGGGTTGGAGCCGAAGGTCCCTCCACGCCTGCGGCTCTGAAGCAGTCTTGTTCTCCTCCCAAGCACGCTCTTCCTCATGTCAGACCCTTAGACAAGTGGGAGGAGTAGTCATAGCCTAGGCCCTGTGCCTACCCTCTCAGCTGCCGCCGGCTCAGCCTGCTGTGACCTGCTCCTGACTGTTTTCAGATCCAGAGAAGGTGTTTCCTCTGTACATATGTTGTGTATGTATCTTGAGAAGTTGAAGACTCTTTAAAAAAAACAAATGAACAAATTCCCATTATCATATATAGAAGAACTTAACAGGGATCCCTTGATGTCGCCAAGTATCCAGCTTGGTGCATAGCTTTCTGGTTGGTTGGTTGGAGTCAGGGTGCAGATCACACCCTGCACTGCAGTCGCCTGCTCCAAGCCTGCAGCCCTCCCCGGACACGCGTGTGGTGGTGCAGCTGGCCTGGTTGTCCTCTAGAGTGTGACACCATTCGGCCTTGTTGGCTGGGCCACAGTGGTGTGTTTTGCCACGTTCTTCCTCTTCGTGCCCTGACACCTGTCCTAGAGGGCCCAGTGGATTCAGGCTGTTTGGTCAGAGTGTCGTGGGTGGTCTTAGATCTCTGCCGTGTCTGCCTGGTGCTCTGCTGGTCATGCAGCCACAGCTGCTTCTCATTAGGGTTGCAGGGCAGTGACGATGGCACTTCAGCCTCCTTCCCCATCCCTGGCTTTGCTTACCCGGAGTTGCAGCCCCCACAGAAGAGGCGGGCCAGCCTGGAGGAGCTGCCTTCTGGAGGCCTTTCAGCACAGCCCAGGGACTTCATGCTTCCTTGGCTGTGACGAGGTGTTCAGGCCGCCTGTGTTTCCCCCTGCAGCGGCTCCTTCTCTAAGAGCCTGGCTGGCTGCGTGTTGCTTCTGGCGTAGTCCTGGGTTCTGGGTGTTTTCCTTGCACAAAGGAGGGACTTACAGTTCTGCATGAGAAAGTACATCCTGAGCTCCTGCCGATGCTTCCAGTTGAGCCTTAGGACTGAAGGTTCTGCCTGTGAGCTTTGATTTTGCTCAGGTACCTCTTCCATTTGCTGCCCCAGATCACGGCTGCCAGCAGCACCAGCCGTGCGTGCTCCCACAATGTGCACGCACAGCAAGTTCTTAAGGTATATCCCATTAGGGAAGTATGAGAACAGATTCATAACTGTTTTAAAGTTAGGAAATAATGAGCATATACTTACTAATTTGACATTCTTATTTTTCTTTCACTGTTTTGCATTAATATTTATAATTTTGTTTTTACATAGAATTTTCACATAGTTTTAAGGCCATGTGTCCCAAACCAGGTATTTTTGTTTAAAGGTGTGAGGCTTGGACCCCTGTCTCTTTTACCCAGTATTCTCCCTCACCCTGTAGGGAACAGGGTTTTTATTTTTATTTAAAATTTTTTTTGTACTTATGGACATAATGTCTTTATTTTTATGCGGTGCTAAGGATCAAACCCAGTGCCTCACATGTGCTAGGCAAGTGCTCTGCCTCTGATCCCCAGCCCCAGTTACTCTTTTTCTTATTTAACCTTTTATTTGGAATCATTTTAGATCAACAAAAAAGTTGCAAAGATATTACAGAAAATTCCTGTGTACTACCCACTTAGTTCCCTTAATATCATCATCTTACATTATTAGTATTATTTTTGGGGTGTATATTAATCATACAGAATTGCACATTTTACTGTGCATTGATGAAAATGCAGTTGATCGGTTTCCCTCCCTAGTACCTCCCGACCCACCTCCCTCCCTCTTTCTGGTCACCTTCTCTCTCCTACTGGTCTTCCTTCTAATTTCAGGAAATCCCCCTGTTTTCTTGTTTTTTACTTCTTCTACATTTGAAAGAAAAGATCTAATACTTTTTTCTATGAGTCTGATTTGTTTTGTTCAAAATTATGTTTTCTAGTTTCGTCTATATTCCTGCAAAAATGACGTAATTTCATTCTTCTTTATGGCTGAATAAAATTCCACTGTGTGTATATGTAATATGTACACATACCTGCACATTTTCTCTGTTCATTTATCTGTTGACAGCAACTAGGCTGATTCCATAATGTGGCCATTGTGAACCATGCTGCAGTGAACACAGGTATGCATGTATCTCTAAGCTGACTTGAATTCTGTTGGACATTTACCAAGGAGTGGTACAGCTGGATCATATGACCCATCTGTTTGTAGCTTTTCAAGGAACCTCCATATTGAAGCTTTTTAATTTGATGCCGTCCAGTTTATCAATTCTCTGTATCTCCTGAACTATAGAGGTCTTCTTCAGGAAGTCTTTGCCTGTGCTTATGTGTTGAAATGTTTCCTCTATTTTTTCTCTTAATATTTGAAATATTTCTGATCTTACAGTTGGTCTTTGATCCACTTTGTGTTTATTTTTGTAAGAGTGAGAGGTGGCTATCCAGTCTTCCCAGCACCATGTGTTGAAGAGGCTGAGCATTTCACTGAAATGTTTTGGCACCTTTATGCAGAGTGAGAGGACCGTCTTCTGTCCTGTTCCACGGGTCTGCGTGTCTGGCTTTATGCCAGTTCTGTGCTGTTTTAGGTATTACTAAAATTGGGTATTGGGATGCCGCCAGCTTTGCTCTTTTTGCTGTCTCTCTTCTGGTCTTTGATCTTCCCTGTGAATTTTAGGATTGCTTTTTCTAGTTCTAGTGAGTAGTATATCATTGGTGTTTTGATGGGATTGCATTGACTCTGTAGATCACTTTTGGAAATATGGCTGTTTTAACAATGTTAATTCTGCCTATCCATGAACATGGGAGGTCTTTTCATCTTTGAGAGGCTTCTTCAGTTTCTTTTTTAGGGTTCTATGATTTTCATTGTAGAGAGCTTTCACCTCCTTGGTTAGGTTTATTTTCAAGTATTTCATTTTGTGAATGCATTGTGAATGGGATTATTTCCTGACTTCTCTCTCAGTGAATTCATTATTTGTGTATAGAATATTGATTTTTGTATGTTGATTTTGTATCCTGTTACTTTATTAAATTTATCAGCTCGAAAAGTTTTCTGGAAAGACTTTTACGATCTTCAAAGTGTAGGATCATATCATTTGCAAATAGGGAAAGTTTGACTTTTTCCTTTCCTATCTGTATTTCTTTCTCTTGCTCAATTTCTCTGGCTAAAATTTCAAGTATTGTATTGATGGGAGTGCTGAGAATGAACATCGTGTCTTGTTCCTGGTCTCAGTGGAAACATTTTTCCGTTTTTACCCATTCAGTATGATGTTATCTTTGGACCTGAGATAGGTAGACAGGTATCTTTTGATACTGAGGTGAGTGCTTCCTATCCCTAATTTCTTCAGGGTTTTTATCATGAAAGGTGTTGGATTTTGCCTAAGGCCTTTTCTGCATCTTTTGAGATGATTTTTGTCCTTCTGCTTATCTGGTTTAATTTATTTATTGGTTTCCGTGTGTTA